CACCTGAAAGATTACACAGAACATTATCACATGGAATATGCACTGTCTGTGTAATATCATCACATATCTTTACATTTTTGCATTCTTCAAAAGATGAGTGAGCAAGTTTACCATCTTCACTGTCGTGTTTGTTATTATAAGAATGTTTCTGGAAACTTCTGTCACGAAGTATGTTTGAATGGCATTCTTCAAATAACATTACTTCGGGTTTTATCATGTTATCCTAAACAGAAAAATAAAACAAGTGGGGATAGATAGGCAAAATATTAGGGAATGAATAAGAACGGGAACAAAATATCATCATAAATACAGTTTATACTGACGAGATGTGTCCAATTCAACTAATTTCCACTGAGAGATATGTGTGAATCGATGAATTCAAAATAAACTACAGAATGCTCCAGTCCTCAACAATGTTATACATTAATCTAATAGAAAGTGATAAAAACATAAAATGACCACAAAACGTACACAACCGAAGTTAACTACACCGCTTTTGGAGGAATATAAAATCACATTTCCACTTTATAACCACAATACATTCCTTGGATAAGGGAGAAACCTCAATGGGACCCACTAAGAAATAGAGAAAATAGCAAAACCCAATGTCAGATTTGTGTGCAGAAGAAAGAGGCAGATAGATGGAAGCGGAAAATAATTAAGGTTGGGTACAAACCATCACAACCTCATAACGCTAGGAGATTTCATAAAAATGGAAAGGATCACCAAGGAATAAATACTAACTAACTGGTTTCAAAAAAGAACATTGCACAGATGTGCATTAGATCGAGTTGCCATACTCCATGTAGCAAGCATAGAAGAGAAGAAAGATTCAAAAGAGAGATAAACAAAAGCGTCATGGGGAAAGAAGAGTTACAGGAAAGAACAACAAAATTTTATTGGATATGACAAATCGCAAAACGTTATTGCATCTACGCCATCCATCAAGAAAGATTTTAGAGACACATCACTAATTGTCTCCAGCCATTGGCTCTTACCATCCCAATAACAACAACCACTGAGGAAGTCTACACTTCCCAACATGACTGGCTTAAAATAACTGTTACGGATTTCATTGACTGATGAGGCCCTGTTTTCGTTTGACCACCACTACCTCATTTCCAACCTAATCCATCCTATGTCAGCTAACATTGCCCGTTGTAGAGGAAGGCGATGGCTTGTCATGTGTAGCACGTGCACTAGTCATCTCAGTCAATGTGGCTTCACAACCTCAACGATTGAATTACCCTCCTTGTCTAACTCTCGACGAATGACCTTAATATTATTCACTTCATTATACCACCGAATACGGGAGATAGAACGCAGATACCTATGATCAAAGACAGCTAGCCAGACTTTTCATTAATGTAAGTGTAGAACATGGGCACTGTTGTAGAATGTAATTCCATATCAGATATGTTTATTTTAATAATCACACAGTGATGCAGTATTAACAACTGGCTTTTCATGTGGAGATGTATTGTTGAAGCCCTATGTTCCGCTGGGAACCCAAGTGAATAATAATAATTATAATATTATTTGATATCTTCTCCCCCCCCCGCCCTTTTACAATGGTCACGTCTCGCTCACACCCATAAAGGAGGACAGAGCCGACTGCAGAGCAGTACAAACGCCCTTTAGTCGATAGCTAGCGGATATCACATCTAAACCAGAGATGGTGTGAGTTGGCGGGCACATGCCTAACAAGCCTTATGTATCCGTGCTGAGATTTCGTCAGCGATCAACCCACTGAGGCCGATTCAACTGACACAACTTCCCAAATAAATGAAGTGGTCAACACGCTCAGCCACCATTTCAATCCCTATCTCTGAGCTAGGAATGAATCGACGTAGTCCAGTCCTGTAGTATCATCTTATATTTGACAGGAGCGAACCGCCTGCCAAACAGATTGTTGCCTACCAAGGTGTTCAGAAGACCCTACATTTTGAATAAAGAAAGAACGAAGATATTTGCGGGATAATGCGAACTTGTTTTACTTTTCGGATTCTCTTCAGCTGCGTACACCCCAAATAAATAAATTATAAGTTACAAAATTTCTGAACATACTTTATACAATGACTTCAAGTCATAGATACAAAGTATAGGCAGAGTGATATAGTCTCAGAAGCCATTGCCATCAAAAGATTTTGGCCCAACCAATGTATATAGAAAGAGAGTGTGACTAATCTCTCACTACCTTTGTAACCGCAGCTGTATTGTTCGTGCGCTTTTGTGTTTTGTTCTGTTGCATAAGATTCTACTCAATTTTGATTTTCACTCAATAAGTTGAACCCACTGTTAAGGTTTCGAATCTACTAAATTAAATTATACTATCCACTTTTATAATTTTACTTCACTATTCACACCCATTCTCCTGAATCCCCCACCATAATATGTATAAATTAACTCTGTTGTTCTATCTTGTATTCTGTCTTTAGTCCATCTTTGTGTCCAAGAGAAATCAGAACTACACCCATTTGTTTAATTACTATATAAATAGTTACTCTTTTAACACTAAATAATTGTTTACTTACATCATCTTTGAAATTATATTGCCTATACTTTCTATCTATAGCCTGAAGTCATTGTATAAAGAATGCTCAGAAATTTTGTGACTTGTGATTGAATTATTTAGGATGTACGCAGTTGAGAGAATCCATGGAATAAAACGAGCTCGCATTATTCTGCAAATATGTTTATTCTTTCCTTATTCAAACTAATAAAGGAACCGGCTGTGTGAAAAACTCCGCATTTGTCAGCGTCTTCACCTAGGAGCAGGACTATACCATCTGTATATTCTAAGTCAATGAGACTATTATTTCCTAATGGTAACAAGTCAATTCATGAATTGCTGAAGTCAGTTAGAGTCAATTCCATTAGTACATCTATGATGAAATTAAACAGAAAGGGGGACAGTGGGTATCCTAGACGGACACCACTGGTTTTCATCATTTCAGATGACAACTCTCCGTAGGTTATTATCTAGCTGCATGAGTTCGAGTAGAGTGTCTTGATCAGCATGATGCTACTGAAAACAGACTGAGTATTTCGCACAGTACCCAAATCTAAATTTCACATGAAGTGAATCTTATAACCCAAGCTAAATGTTTCGTGCACATGATCGTAGAACATTCAACCACAGCACCAAGAGGAAGTATTTTCAGACGCATTCCAGACCCACAAAAGGATAAGTTACGATGTGTAGAATTATCTTCGCTGTCATTAGCCCGGTAATGCTGGCTACTCATGTACCGATAATTCCTAAGTACTGAAGTTAGGTCCCGTGTAGATTAAAAAAAATAAGAGTCGAATCTCGAAGTGAAACGTATCAGTTCACATAACTAAACTCCTTGACAAAAATTGGAAAAGGAAATAAGCAAACATGCGATGAAATGCTATATATATATATATATATATATATATATATATATATATATATATATATTATTTATTTATTATTTTTTTAATTGATTTACAGCTTGATTCCACACCGTATTTTCAGTACAAGAATGGAATTTTCAGCATGGATATCGGTAGCCCAAATTCAGGCCGACCATAGATATCGGGTGTGCGCCGGCGGGGGATCGAACCTCGGACCATGTGCATGGTCGGCGAGAGTCCTAACCACTGTGCCACCGACGCACAATTTAAAGGGAGGACCGTGAGGCCTCCCCACTGACAAAAACTACACGCCTGAGCGCACCCGATTAGGGTCCGTCGCGAGTTTCAACCCACCGAGGTGCAATGGTGAGCCTCCACCCGGGGTCAGAGCATTCTTGATCACCCTGAACCCGGCGCCAGGTAAAATATTTAGAGCGAACAATTGTTTTCAATAAATTCTTCTCCAGGCTCTACAATTATAAATCCATTAATTTAAGCATACAATAGCCAGTAAAGGCAAATTAGAATCATATCAGAAAGTGTATTGTGGAACAAGTATAAGATGGGATGGAACAATAGTCAGATAGCTTTTTTAATATGCATGGTCAATGAGAACATGGGAAAAAATCAGATGAAGTAATTTAATTTAATGATGTGTGTGTATACATATAAATAGAGTGAACAGAAAATACAGGTTTCGAGAGTGTGTGTAATCAGTGTGTGTGAGACAATATGAAAATAAACCAACGAATGGGGCGGACTAGACATAATTTCAAGGTTGAAAATAACGACAGTAAGAATGATTGTAAAATAATAACGATGATATAGTGTAAAACGGATACCCGCCACGTTTCGTGGAGAAGAACATGAAACCAAGGCCAAAAAGAGAAGAATACATTTCAGTGCAAAAGAAGACACTCTATCTGAATCTGGAATTCAGGGGAGACCTGGCAGCAGATATCCTTAAAAGGAGAATCTCCAAATCCCTGAAGAAGACTTTTCCGGCAGCAACTCTAAGAGTGACATTCTCTAGCCGCCCACTTCTTCGGAGCAATGGGAAGGACAAGCTGTCGCATATGGCCAATTCAATGTGCATTTACCAGTTCACCTGCTCGTGCGGAGCAAGGTACATAGGTCGTTGTATGCGAGTCTTTTCAAAACGTGTTAGAGAACACTACCCAGCGTGGCTTTAAAGAGGAGGCACCGGTTCAATCAGAAGTGCCATTATTGAGCATCTGATCAATACCTCCCACAACATCTCAACTGATTCATTCAAAGTAATTTACAAGGTCAACAGAAACCTACCGAAAGCAGTTTGTTTCCGACTTCTCTGTACTGCAGAAGCCCTCGCAATATGCATCGAGAAGCCGGAGCTGTGTGTCCAAAAGAAATTAGTTCAACCTCTACAACTACCATGGACTTAGTTCGGTATGTTACCGTAGCTTCCATTTTTGTTTCTGTTTTTGTTTTTTTTTTTTTGATCCCTTTTCGTTCGCTATGTGTGTGATTCTTACTCCCTCAGTCTTCATTCGATTCACCCCACTTTTTTTCCAGTTATAAAAACATTTATTTTAAGTTTGTTTCCATGCTTTTCCTGTTCGCATTTATAATCCGTTTTAAAAAATTTGCAATTATATCTTAATCCTGTGCAATTATTTTGTGTTTCTAAGGCTCTTGTAATCTATATTCACACCTCCTAACTTCCATTTTAAGTTAAAACTATTATATCAATTTTGTTTCCATGCTCACTTTCTGCACACCTGTAATTTGCTAAATTCCATGTAATTTTGTTTCTAAGGCTCTTGTAATCTATATTCGCACCTCCTGATTCCCATCTCAAGTTGAAAAATTATTATTTCAATTTTGTATCCATGCTCATTTTTACACACTTGATATCCGTTCTAATCCTGCGTAATTTTTGTTTCTAAGCCTCTCGTATAACCATATCTAGTTGGAAATAATTATCACCTTTTATTCGCTGTCATAATTATGTAGAATCAAACAAGAATTGTCTCCATGTAAAATTATGTATTTAAATGCGATTGTACAGCTTTTGAAAATGAAATCGCCGAAAAGATATCTTTGCTGAACTTCTTATTCTTCTCAATCTAATGTTCCAATGGGTATTTTCCACGATTTAAAATTACAAGCACTATTGGTGAATGATTGTCAAATAATAATAATGAATATAATGAAGTGGAATGAACAGGATTTTGTAAATACGATAGCAAGTTAGAAAAGCACTACTTAAACCTAAGGTAGTGCTTTCCTTACTGTCGTTATTTTCAACCTTGAAATTATGTCTAGTCCGCCCCATTCGTTGGTTTATTTTCATATTGTCTCACACACACTGATTACACACACTCTCGAAACCTGTATTTTCTGTTCACTATATTTATATGTATAATGTAACCACAGAAGGCAAGAGTCAGGCAACAGATCATTTATTAAGGAAATCAACGCATATCTATATATTTTCATGTACATTATTATGGATATTTAAGCAAACAAACACAGCTTCCGATTGGTTGTTTCTCACGTAAAGTTAATCTTTCATCTATTTGTGACTGTTTCTTGAATGTCAAATCCTCTATATGTTAACTGCATCCGCCTACGCAAAGTCAATCTTTGTTCACATTTTCTCACGACAAATCTTGGGAACGTAAATATTGACGTAAATTACTGTCTACCAATTTGGCTAGTAGACCGCTCTCACCACATACACACACACATCATTAAATTAAATTACTTCATCTGATTTTGTCCCATGTTCTCATTGACCATGCATATTAAAAAAGCTATCTGACTATTGTTCCATCCCATCTTATACTTGTTCCACAATACACTTTCTGATATGATTCTAATTTGCCTTTACTGGCTATTGTATGCTTAAATTAATGGATTTATAATTGTAGAGCCTGGAGAAGAATTTATTGAAAACAATTGTTCGCTCTAAATATTTTGTATAGTTTGGTTTGTAAGGATTAGTTATGTTTTACGAGTTGATCACGGACTGATATCAGTTAGAGAACCATTGGCTGAATGGTATACGAGCTTGCCTTGTAACCGGAAGGTCCTGGGTTCGAATCCCAGTGGGTGCGTACTGCCGATGATTCCCAAACTAGGATGAAGCAGCAGCTGTCCAGTACTCCCTGGTTTTCAATGGTTCTCTAACTGATATCACTCCGTGATCAACTCGTAAAATATTTTGTTCTGAATATATATATATATATTACTGCCTCAGGCACAAACTAAATGGTTTATGTAATGCTGTTGGGTGCAATCAGTACAAGCAGGCAAAATAATTAAATATCCGTGAGCAAAAAAAAAGAAAACATACTTCACTGTCACACTTTTCTGAGAAATTAGTATCTAATGGTGGTGATTTTTTTGAAATCACGCTAGCAATATTCTTTTCTGTTTCATTAACCAGCAGCACAACAGACGATTTACAAATTAAATCCACTTGAGGCTCATCGTTTTCATTAAGCATATCAGGCAATATTGACGCGTGCTTCTGTGACTCATCTTCTTCAGATATGCTGTAGAGGAAAGAGGTAAGCAAATAGCACACTAAAAATGCACTTATGAACAAGGTCAGAGTAACCATACAAGGGAAACATACTCACCAACATGTAAAACAAATGCAGAGGTGTTCAGTTTCCAACTAAAGTAAACGGTCGTTAATATTGAATGCAATATTTTTAGAGATTTACACGAATATATCTACAGTATAAGGAGCACGTGCTCAACCTAGTAGCTATATTTCATACACCCTCATCAGTTAATTCTGAATACTATGAAAATATCTCTGCTTCCTGAGAACTCTCTTGAGAATCCAAAACTGTACGTGTAATACAACTGTCAAACACTCCATACAAGTTGATACACTAAGCTATGAACCATACCTAACAAAAATAACTACTTCAACATGTAAAACAAGATTCGACGGTGTTTTCCTTACAAGCACGAGTCATATCTTCCTTACTGGGATTAATCCAGAAGAAAAAGAAAATAGATATTATTGAAACTACTAGTTCTACTAACAGACTTTGTTAAATATAAACACCGAGAGACATGCCACAACAAATAATGAAATGACAACAGAAGCCGAGAAAGAAATGAAACAGTGTAAAAACAACAGTGCAAAAGCAGTTACGCATGCTTATTAATTTTTTTAAAATTTTATTATAGCTTGATTCAACACAGTATTTTGGTACAAGTATGGCATTTTCAGCATGTGATATCAGTAGCCCAAATTTAGCAGGCCGACCATAGATATCAGGTGTGCGTCGGTGGGGGATCGAACCTCGGACCATGTACATGACCGGCGAGAGTCCTAACCGCTGTGCCACCGACGAACTCAAAAGGAAGTTTATTATTTCGTGCCACTTTCAGGAAGACAAGAGTCACCGGTTTCAACAACTATCAAAATGCTTCTACATACATACACAATCCACCTATTCACCACCTATCCTCCTCATCTACTAGTTCTTCTCCCACTGCTAGTTTCCACCCTCTCCCCACAAACCGTCTCTTGAATTTTTTCTAACTCCGAAACCACTACTAAGCCAACGAAAAGTTCTTATGACTTCCTTAAAACAATACTAGCAACTTTAATTTCGAGCTCTTGACATCGAACCAGACAATAGATCATACTACTGAAACTTCTGGCAACTCTGATATTTGATGATTGTGGTACATATGAGGTACGTATACAAGATTCAAGTTTAGCTATTCACTTGACTCCACCTGGCTTACATGGTGAACAGACAGAATTCTCTTCGGGAATATCAGGAAATACTTTCGCTTGTCTCCGTTTAGGAATAGCATCAGCTGTTCAAAAATAAGTCCATTTAATAAAGTGTATCACTGTATTTTATGAGATGAACTCTTTTCATTTTGACTTAAGTGACCAACTAACATTTATGTACTCTTCAAACAGTTCATTATGGTTTTATGATTCCTATTATTACAAAGGGTGTGTATTGGAAGCATGACTCATAAGATTTAGTATAAAGGACTGACGGTGTCAACCGTGTTACCTGTTTATCTAAATACAGTAAAATAAATGTAAAAATTCTAGCTCATTAATAATCCTGTAGTTGAGTTGCTTATCAAAATGTTTACACTGTCAACCGTATTAAGTTCTCCGTAATGGATAAAGACTCAATATAATCGTAGGATACATAATAGCAACCACACCTTCTACTAACATCATACATCCAATCGCAGTTAAAACTGTAGCTGGCCCGCAGTCTCCCAGTGTTCTTTTCCACAGCAGACGTCAGTAATAACAAAAACAAGGGAAAGTTTTAATGCATTAAAGATAGGCTGAGTTACAGTGAACAATATAGAACTTTTCGAAATACAGGAAGAAAAGTTGTATCATATCAATACATTATAACTGGAGAAAGGGGTGAAGGCTAGTCGAAAATAAACAAATCTTACATACCTTTTATCTGAGACTGTTTTTATCAAGTCACTCTCTTGTATGCTTGATATTGACTCCTCAGCTAACATACAAGTAGATGAATGGACAGTTAAATCATTATACAGAGACTGGACAATAGAACCTGGATCAGAGTCCCGTGCCAGCACTAGGTCTATTTGACTGCATCCACAGGGTGTAGAACTTTGTTTGTTCAACAAGGACATTGGTATGGTCAGAGTACTGCCGTAAGATGAATGTCGGTTTTTGCTTGGTTTAGTAGATAATGGCGTAGTATTTTCGCTTGTATCGGTATTGATTGATAGATTAACTTTCAAATCTAGTGGGAGAAATTGGAAAACTGATAGACGCTGTTCCGAATCAGTAAAAACAATCACCCCACATTAAAGTCAGTAGGAACTACATCAATACAATAAGAAACATGTTTCATGCTTTTTTATAAAGATTGGAGACAACCAAACAAGTCATACTATTTCTACTTTGAACACAGATTTCTTCGAGTTAAAAATGGATATTGACCATCCACGCATAAATAACTTCCGATGAGTTCTTCCCAACAAATAGTTGACTTTCGTTTGTTGATATGCATGAGAGACAAGGGCAAAAACCAGTCACATTTTCTATTTGCATAATAGTTGTATGTTTGTAAACAGGTGTAATTTTAGCACCAACGTATTTACACGTTTGTCAGTACAATAAATTAGCATCATACCAAAAAAGTGTTTTCAAAATTTTATAAGTAATGAAAATTTTAACAGTCTTCCATGGGAGAGAAGACAGAGGATTACATCTTTCAGATAACATCGAATGGGTAGTTCGTACACAACAAGCTACCGCACACCATTTTAACAATTCCTAAAAGTAAAAAAGTAATTGTCCAAGTGTTGGTTTGTAGAGATTTGATTGATTGATTACAGGATTTCATCATGAGGTGAAATCAGTTAGAGAACCACTGGAAAACCTGGGAGTACTAGACAGCTGTGTCGTCCTAGTTTGGGACTCTTCATAAGTACGCACTCACCGTGGTTCGAATCCAGGACCTTCTGGTTACAAGGCGAGCTCGTAGACCATTAAGCCACAGGAACCCGATCCAATGGCCCATGAAGGTTCTGGGTTCGAACCCCGATGGGTGAGTACTGATGAAGAGTCCCAAACCAGGACGAAACAGCTGTCCAGTACTTCCAGGTTTTCCAATGGTTCTCTAGCCAATGTCAGCTCATGATGAAATCCTGTAACTAATGGTCTTATCTGTTGGAATTATTTTTATCTTAAACATATGATTAACACATGTCGTTGCCTAGAACAATTTCGTATTAATTTACGTCTGAATGAGGTGTAGTCAGATAAAATAGAAAAAGTGAAGTCTTTAGATGGTTTGTGAATGAGTGCAAAGAAAAAACTCAACACTCGTGTAGGAAAAACATAGCAGTATATATCACAAGGCTAAAAGGGAACCATATTATATACTTATGGTGTGGCTGGACTTCCAACCAGTGGTTCAAAGTTTCGAATCCTTCTCCATTTACCGGGATTTTGGCAGCCAGCTAGTATCAATAGCCCTGAAACACGGTAGGTGTGGTTCATTGCCAAATGCATGGAACAGTAAGTGGTTGTTGAGTAACATTTCCATCTCTCAAAATATCAGTGTGCTATGCTAAGTATAATTTCGTTATATTGCAAATGAAAAGTGTTTTATACCTGGATGAATTTCTTCATTATTTGAAGGGGTGTCGCATTCGCGTCTGCACTGATGGACTTCAGAAATGTCTGCTTCCATCTTCAGTCGCAAAAGTGGTGGTGAACCAGTACAATCATCTTTGTGAAATTTGTTTTTTTGAGATTCTAAATTTGTACTATTTGACGAACAGGGTGGACGTAAAATAAAATAATTCGAATTCGGCAAAAGATCACAAGGAACTTCACCAACATCCATAACAACCTCTGATAAAAGATTTTCACTAAGTGCTGAACTGTCAGTTTCCATATCCAACACTCGTTCACTCGATATACTGGACTGCACAAGTGCATCACGTCCCGGATCCGAATCACTTTCATTATATTTCTACAATAATTTTTGAAAGTAAAATAACTCAGATGAGACAACTGATGAAATATTGACAAACAAAAGATTAGTCAGTTAAGGCTATAGCTATGAGTATCCACAGAATGGATATCAAAACGTTACACAAAGAATATTAGGCACAAGAAAGACTGATTGTATTTTAACACAGTACGTCACAAAGAAATTAACCAGTTCCAGTATGAACCAAAAAAGAAACTGTCTCCAGCCGCTGACCCTTAGTATACCAAGGATCCCAACCATGCAGCCTACACCTACTCACTTGGCTATCGCAAAGCAACTGTCAAAGTCTTCATGAACTCATGTCAACTTTTGGTATGAAAACCCATAGCCTTTTTCCAACCCAACCCAACTCTAAATCAACTAACATTGCTCGACGAGGAAGGTGGTGGTTTGTCATGCGTAACATATATCCTAGCCAATCCAATCAATGAAGTTTCACAATCTCATAGATCCATTTACCCTCTTTAACTAGCTCTCGACGCCTAACCTCAATATTATTCACCTTATTATACCACTTAACGCGAGAGATAGACCACAAACATCTGTGGTCAAAGGCAACTAGCCTACTGTATCTTCCACTTCCAACATTTATCATAATCATAAAGAAGGACAGAGCAAACTTCTGTGCAGTACACACTTCAATTGAAAAACAGCCCGATATCAAGTCCACACCAGAGATGACAGCTTGGCAAGTGCACACAAGTCCTTTGCATCCGTGTTGATCTTTCGTCAGCAATTAGTCTATAAGGGTTGATGTACCTTCCAAAATAAGTAGAACGGTTAACACGCTCAACCACTTCACTCCCTTTATTTAGGCTAGGAGTAGGTGTTGACCAGTTCTGAAGCATTATCTTACATTTCACAGGAGCTAATAGCATGCCAAACAAACTGCCAATAATTATGCATTTTCCGAAATCTGGCGAATGGTGAAGATATGATATATACGACCTCTCCATGACCTAAAGTCTACCTCGTTTCTCCGGGTTTTGTGTCACTTAAGCACCGCTCAGTCCAAGCACCACAATTGAACACAGAATATCCGAAGCTATTTCGGTCCTCCCTACGACTATCACGAGAAGACTTGTCTACCTTCTCATAAAATGAATGGGATAACCAGTAACTTACATCGGTCTAACGGAACTATCTCTAATTCCCAGATATTATCTCAAAGTATCTTAAATAACCTAGACAGTATTTTGTCACCACCGTCTTTTAACACCACCGGTGTCACTTCATTAGTTCCTGCTGCTTTTCTTCGATTCAGACTAGAAACAATTTCACTAAACTTAGGCACCTTGCAGAAATTCCACATCTCTATGACCACTTTCCACTTCACATAAAAAAAACTCCGACTGACTGGTTTCCCGAAGAATTTCACCCGTCTTCGAATTGAGAAGTCTCTCCGATCCCAATGGAAAGTAATTTCTCTTTGATATGAAGTCCCAGTAGCAATATGACCTTGCTTCACGGTTTCTGATTGCTTGACCCACGTCGAACTTTCTCACTTTTCCGCGATTTGGACCGCCTAAGGTAGTCAACTAGAGAAGGTTGGTGCCTCGCACCAATATCGATATGGCTGTGCCTCGACAGATTTTACCAATCTGCCTATGCAGATGTCTACCTTTCTTATTCTCATTGAATTCATCAACAACAGGAAACTCAGTTACCTGGAACGCACTTTTCATGTACCAGTGTATGATGAACGCTTCTTGTTCAAATGTTGAATGAACAATACTGTCCAGTCGCCTAGCTTGAATAGGCGAAGCGACACACATACACACATACATCCACTATGTGAAGGTGGACTGATAGAGCCAACACACCACATCTCAGCTTTTTACTTGCACAGTAATATAGGAGTTTATTTATTACTCTCTAATGTACAAAATGAGATGAAATACTTGAAAATGACTAACCTTCGACTGAATATTTTCACCGGTTGAGCTCAGAATACTACGCTGACGAAATTGTATGGTACAATACACCTCTCCGAAATGTAAACTGTCTCCATTCCTCAGTTCATAACTCCTCCTCGACTTTAACTGTAAATCGTTTCGTTTAGTTCCATTCAATGAATCTAGGTCCGTTATGGTACAGATACCATTTTCGTCCAACTCAAGTGTAGCGTGTTTTCTAGAAATAGTCTAGCACAAAAGAAAAATACGTACGACATTTCATCTGTGTATATTATCACTCGTTAATTGATGTACGACTGACTGACTGTATTTCAACGTAGAACTTTGCACAGTGGTGCACCTGTTCAAGTTGCCACACACCATACTGCACACGAATGCACAGAAAAGGAAACCAAAATGAATAAGAACTACAATGAGCAGATGTGTACGGCGGAAAGGATAATTACATGGACAAAGATGAAGACTTAATGGACCTGAGAGATTACAACGATTGAATGTATATGCACCATTGAGGACCATTGTGAGCCACATCCCCAATTCTCAAGTCACTGGTTCTCAGCATTGGACAGACAGTCTATCTTTGCTTAGTAACCTTCAACAGTACCAACCACCAATGATCAAGCATGAAACCCTTAATTCAAGAGGCGAATACGCCACTGGGTTGAAATTTAATGGCTTACTAATACTAGCTTCTGCCAATTCGCAGTATATCGCCACTGGCAATGAATGTGATTGATAGGCATTTGTTTTTATAAACATGTTAGACTGCGGCCGTCACTCCTCATCAGAACGGAAAAGTTGTCCAGTTCTTCATGGCTTTCAACTGTTCTTTTAGTGATATCGGTTCGTGACGTAAATTAGATTGAAATCAATCAATTCGTGGTGACCGTGCTTTAATATCGCGGTGACCCAACAAGCTTCTCTGGTCGGGACTCTTTTCCTATAAGTCTTACCATGCCAGGAAGTTTGTTTGTATGGTAGTTAGACTAAAAGCAGTTACTGTGGGGTGCTTGGGTTCCAGAATGCAAATGCCATATGAACCTGTATTGGTCACCGGCAACCATGGGAACGTAGCTCCTGACACTGCCTTGCGGATTAGACTGCAAGTCGAAGGCTCGGGGGTGGTCCCTTAAGACAACCACTTTTTACGGTCTGGCCGTCCGAGCAGTATCCCAGCCCTCGCACCAACAATTAAACAACAAATAATGAGGAAAATTAATCATATGCTCATTCTCAGGCTTACGAACAATGATATTTTTGGCAACGGGTTTCTTTTCAATCCTATTTTTCTACATAGACTTTTATTTTTACTATTCTTGACTTCTTCACTTTCGACAGCCTCCCACCTTTGTTTGAATTTCCAGCCTATCTGTGCCGTTTCGAGATGTCAGTGAGTTGCTCTCAAAATAGTTGTCCCCGGTGCGACACCTAACACAGATATCCTGAAACTGCGCGTTGCGTTCAAGCTAGCCACCTACAATATTCGGACACTGATACCAATCGGACAACAGTAAGGTCTGGTGAGAACATTGAAAAGCCTCGTTATCGAGGTCTGCTCCATTTCGGAGACCTGCATTCAAGGTCCCAGTGAAGTGCTTTGAATATCTCATCCATCTGAAAGTTTGAATAGTATATACCACCTGCACTTACTCGGGGACCTGTGGTGTTGGCATCCAGCGTAGTTGGTGTCGGTGTCGCACTAAACTCTAGAGCCGAAGCTGCATTACTCGACTGGATCCCCATTAACAGTTGTTTATGTGCTGTGAGGCTGGAAGGTTATATGGAGGTTAGAAGTGGTAGGTCAGATAGGCGGTGCCTATTTGTTGTCTCTGCCCATGTACCGTCGGATTACAACCCGGACGCAATTAAGGATGGGTTCTACTACCAACTGGGTGATCTCCTGAAACAGGTGCGTCGAGGGATATCGTAGTGCTGGTTGGGGACTTGAATGCACACAGGTTGGGCATCTAGGTGCAGAAGAGAATCGTCGAGGTGGTCAGTGGGGATCACGTAGTCACAGGTCAGATAATGGGGATTGTCTTCTGCAGGTTTGCGCAGATGACAACCAATTTCTAGCTAGCACCAACTTCCGGCACAGCCATCGCCGTAGCGTTACCTGGAGTCCTCCCACTGCTTATCAAGCCTAGACTCAGATTGATCATATGGCAGTTTAGCCGGTCACCAGCGGCAGCATCCACCGTCATCAGCTACAGTGATCCTGAGCCGGTCAATATCGACCCACCAGTCGAAACGAAGGTCCGTAAAAAACTCCAATTGTCGAAGCGAAATAAGCCACTCGGCCCAGACAATTTTCCCATGACCTTTTTTAAAGATGGTGGCGAGATACACGTCATGGCTGATCCGTTTGTTCAGGAAAGTATGGAAAATTGAAGATGTGCCATCAATTTTGGATGAAGCCATTATCGTACTCATCTTAAAAAAGGGTAGACGTAACACACATGCGAAAACCATAGAGGTATCAGTTTGCTACCTAATGTCTAAAATACCAGGCACTTTCTTGCTTCGCAGACTGTGCAAAACATGCAAGCTGGGTTTCGTTTACGCCGTGGGTGCATTGATCATGCGCTCAACCTTCGTCAGTTATCTGAACACTGACACAAGTATTGCAGGCCAACAATCATTGTTTTTCATTGATATTAGGGTCACCTTCGGATAGTTGGACAAAACTGCTCTCTTGGAGAGAAGTGTGCCGTAAAGCCTTATATAGAAAGACCTCAGGTAGAATGACAGCATACAATCAGCTATCATCACTGTTCCCAACCAACAGTAAGGCTTGACAAGGTTGCCCAAACTCTCCACTTTTCTTTAACTTCCCCATCGACGACATTCTGGAGTCAACTTTGAAGGAAGTGCGTGGAGATTGTGTAGATCTGCTCCCTGGAGAGAGACTTTTCGACCTCTAGTATGCAGACGATGTCGTCTTACTGTGCGATAGCATGCAGACTGCCCAAATCGCACTTAATCAGTTGGTGATCAGTGTCTGTAAGTATGGTACGTGCTTTGCGCCGTCTAAATGCAGAGCACTGTTGCAAGGAGCCTGTACCCGCACTCACTCTTGCAAGTGAACCGCCTGGCTGACTGACTGAGTTGCCTACAAGTCTGTGTATGTAGGTAGTTGTGTGAATGAAGGACAAGACTCCTAACCGTATAGTGAAATCTATAGTGACGCACTTCAATTTGGACCGCCTCTGACGTCGTCGCAACGTCAGCCTGGCTGTCAAAGGTGGGGTTTGCAACGCATCTGTGCACTTGGTCTCATTTGATGGATGTGGAACCTGGCCCCTCTGAACTGAAGATGTGCGGCAACTCCACGTATTCGACCATTGCTGTCTCCGCAGTATTGCTTGCGTTCGATGGCATCACTGTGTGAGTAACTCTAAGGTCCAGCAGTGTATGTTTGGAAACAGTGAAGATCACCGGCTTCAGTGGCATGGGCATGCGCTACGAATGTCATCCCAGAAGCTTCCGTACCGATCTCTGTTTGCTTGCCCTGAAACTGGAAGAAATAGGCGGAGAGGTGGTCAGCCCATGGGATTAGGGATATTTGTGTTAGGTTAGCATCCGTTGGTGCATCACGACTCCCTGGTTCGAATCAGCGACTCGAAACGTTATCGGATATGGCCAAAAATCGCAATAAATGGTGAACATGGTGCAATTTTCTTCCCTTTCTAAAAATAATCCGACAAATGCTGTTTCGGCTCGTAAAATAGAACTGCTTTCTTCCCAGATATTTTTTATTCATTCTTTACCTTTTTTTCTCTTATGTTGTCTTATTATCATTATCTTCCTAGTGCCATGTTATACCAGATTGTTTTTTTTAAATAAACCAATCACGGTGTTTTCTCAATAGGATAATAAGATTGTGCAATTAGCTATCATAATATTAATGATAATAATAATAAAAGTTCTATCAATAACAAGGGTTTGAATTTTTTATTTGTAAAGTTATGTATATTAGAGTTAAACCTGATCAGATATAATTGTAAAGAACATTGTTCGCCTAGATGTGTTGTTTTAATTTTTACTATGAGAATATTTAATATCTTGAAATCTCGAGGGGTCCTATTGCATTTAAGGCACTCAAAGAAGTACCTGAAGTTTAGTGCAAGGCCCACTGAAGCGAAAACAACGTTGGAATCTTTTGAGGAATGTGTAGAAACCGAAAGTTATCCCAAACCGTATTGGACGTCATCAAGACGAATGAGAATTTATCCCGATTCTCAGAGTTTAAAAAGACATGTCCTTAATTAGACTGACTCTATCAAGTCTTATAAATAACCTCGAAAGAAACGTATCACAAAGGCAATTTTTAGTTGATGATTTACCTCAGGAATTACAATTTATGTTTTTGGAATATGTTAAGAACGTAAGTGTGAACAGAAGGAATAAGAAGGATTAGTCTCGTTAAATCTTTTGAAAGCCAAAAGCTTGAAAAGAAATTTCCGTCAGTTCCGGACCGGTATGTTCACAATTTTCTCAGTGTTATGCTTAGTACGTTTCAACTGGAGGTTACCTCTAGGTCTGAAATTTAGTGACTATGATCCCAAATTTAGTTAATTAGACAGATATTCAGTTTGAAAATTTGTATTCGCAAGCGTCTAACCTAATTTTATAATCGGAAGATGGACTAACTAGGTTTAAAACAACGCTAGTTGACAGCTGTCAACAGTACAAAAATAATAGACATTCAGTAAATGGCCTGTTATTTAAGCAACACAGAAAAGCTCTAAGAGAACTTAGAGGTAATGAAAACTTAATTATTAGCAAACCGGATGAAGGTGACGGTGTCGTTTTATTGGAAAAAAGTGATTACGTTGAGAAAATGTAAGGTATTTTGAATGAATAAACTCATTTTTAATCTCTTGGTAGTTCAAAAGACCTCAATGTAAAAGCGGAGAAACTAATGACAGACTCTCTCAAAAAACTGAACCAAAAAGGAGTATTATCAGCAGCCAGATATGAGCCTATAAAACTAACACTCCACGTCTTTACGGTCTACCTAATGTGTACAAACCGGGTCTTTCTCTTCGCCCAGTTCTAGATATGTTTAACTCTCCATTTCACATCAAAGTGATTAGTGAGGATTCAGACATTTTTGCACAAAGATGTTGTACGACATAGAATTAGTCTTCATTTATAAAATATCCGAGACTAATGTTAGGGATAAACGTATGTTATCTGAAGATCGATCATCACTGTTTACTAAT